CAGTGCGCTCCCACAGGGGAGTTCTGCTCAAGTCACAAGCCAGGCTGACGGCTGCCAGTACAGCGGTGGTGGTAGGAGCCTCTCCCGCCTCCTCAGCAGCACTAAGGATGTCCGACTGCAGCTTAGGCCTGCTCCCCGCTGGCAAGTGGGCATCCTCTGAGGGCTCCTGGGCTGCCAGAGGGATGTCTGACTGCCAGCTTAGGCCCAGTCCCCCGGGGAGCGGGCCTAAGCCAGCAGGTGGTCATCCCCCAAGGGGTCCCAGACTGCAAGAGGGCACAGGCCGGGCTGAAGGACCCCCCTGAGTGCACAAATTTTTGTGCACCAGGCTTCTAGTCTTAAATAAATAAAGATTATATCTTATATGATCACTTTTTTTTAATACACTACCAACTATTTTTTCGAATGCAGCAGTATTTCCTAGGCCTCTAAAACTCACCTACTTTCTTCACAGGCTTTTCCACTTCCATAGGAGACATTTTTACTTAATAAGGCCAGGAAAATGATGGGATAATAGACCATGTGTCCAAACAGTGCAAGCACCAGTCACCTAAGGCAGCAGCACATGCTGTGTCCTCTTTCTGGTCCAGACATAACGTGAATGATTTTGCTGCAAACTCATCTATTTCACGTGTTGTTTAAATTTGGATAACTAATACAGGCTAACATTTTTTTGCAAATTGTTACAGTATATATTCAGATAGTGGGAGTTGAGATAGGGCAGACACCTGTGTTCTTGTTTATCCCACAACAGCCTTTGAGTTCAGATGGTGGACCCTCCACAGGAAGGTGTGAGGCTCGGAGATATGGCCACTGTCAGAAGTACAAGTGGAGGACGTGGCCTGAGAGCTTCTGCATGCAGTGCCTTTACACCATCCCCACCACTGAAGTGACACCAGCCTGGAAAATCCTGTGAAATCAGAAATAGGGCTTGTCCGGTTGGAGGTTAAAAAGGAAAAATGCCCTCCACACAGGGCTGGGTATGTGCTGGCACCACTGGGTGGTGGGCCCCTACCTCAAAGGTTGGGGTGCAGCCTGAGATCCCGCTCACCAGGGACCTGCTCATGCATGTCAATCTGCATACATCTTCAGGGGGTTCACAGATTCTGTGAGAACCATCTGTGGGTCCAAGGTGGGAGCCATACGTGGTTCCTGACTTTTAATTCGTTTCCCTGGAGATGATTTTATTGAAAGCGAGGCAGTGAAATGAGCCTCCTAGAAAGGACCCGCTTCAACCTCAGCTCTGCCTCTCAGTGGCTATGTGACCTTGGGCAATTACTTGCCCCTTATGAGCTTCTATGGGGCACCCGTATGTGGTTCTGTAACCCAGACACACCCTGCCTTTAAGGCACCACCTCCTCAAGTTAGAGTCCATAGCTTACAGTTTTCAGGATTTTTGAACTATTTGTTAAGGCTCTGGTTTTGGTATTAAGTTTCAGCAATCCCTTAGTCTCTCTGATTGGCCTTGGGTGGAGGGCAGGATGGCTAAGATGAGCTCCTTGGTCTGAAGTCAGATGCAGGTTTGCATCCCAACTCATCCACTTACTAGCCCTACGATCTTAACCTCAGTTTTCCTCATCTATCAGATGAAGTTAGTGTTATCAACGTACACATACAATGGACTGCTATTCAGCCACCCAAAAAAAAGTATTGACATGCTACAACGGCGATGAATCCCGAAAACATGCCAAGTGATAGAAGCCAGACAAAACGTTACATATTGTTCGATTCCCACTATATACCCCAAACAGGTAAATCCCATGAGAGAGAACACATTGGTGGTGACCAGGGGCAGTGGGGGGAGAGGGCTGAGGAGCTTATGGTACAGAATCACCTTCCAGGTGATGAAATGACTTGGAACTCAATAGAAGGGGTTGCACATTGTACTAAATGCCACTGAATCTTTTGCTTTATAATCAGTTATTAGTGTAATATGAATCTCACCTCAATAAAAAATATTAACGTTGTCAACCCCAGAGGATTACGGGAGGATTGTGTGGGTTGGTCCTTACAAGGTGCTTATTAGCACAGTGCCCAGGTAATAATGTACTTTTAGTCTTTTGCAGCTGTGATGATTCATGATAGGGGATGAGTCATTGTGTCCTCTATTAAGGCAGTTACTTGTGCAGCTGATTATTGTATGTTGATTCTCTGAGCTTCAATTTTAGAGGCTAACGTTTTCTGCCCTCATCCCCAAACTGTGAGGGGAAATGGTAACATCTGTGCCTTTACTGCCCTGAGTTCTCCCTAAAGAATTTCACTTCTGTAAAGTAATTGGTTCAAACGTAATGCTTGGTAGGGATTAAACTTACATGAATGGGACACAGTTTCAGGCAGGCTTACCAGGCTGCAGTTGGTTAGATTTCCCCGTGATTCTGAGCCTAGTATAGGAGTCTGAGAATTCCTTGTTAGTTGCTGATTAGTTTTTATTTTTTTCATAATTATTTTGACAAAATAATTCCTAATTATTTTGCCTTTATTGTTAAAGCATTTTCATTCTTTTTTTTTTTAAAAAAAATGTTATCATTTACTTGAATGTGGTTTTTAACTTTTCCCTCGTGGGGGAAGTTTTCCCTCGTGGGGGAGTACTTAGGGTAAAAAGAAATGAAATGCCTCTCCCTACCACCCACCTACCATTTATGATTTTACCAACCAAATTGAATTTGTAGAAATCTGATTACAGACTCAAGTAATTATCCCATGAATGTTAACTTATTTAAAACTCTGATGCCCATTTCTAAAATTGAGAGAGATTTAAACCCATCAATTTAGCTTAAATCTTTGCTTTTTATATATACGCTGAGAACATTTCAAGTCTTGTTACCATTTTGTGAAATATAGGGATGCCTCACTTAAAAATACATGTTATGAAAAAACACATTTTTGAAATGGTTAAACTAAGAGGTAATATTTTTTTATTTCAAAGCAATACAATCTAAGTTCTTTTAAGTGGAAACCTTTAAGCATTTACATTTTTTGGAATGTTTACATATTCTGAAACAATATTCAAAGGTAGATCTTCTTCCTAACTTAAATGTACATTCTGATAGAGTAGAAACAGTGGCATCGGGAACACTTGGTCCAAACTCTAAGTCTAGCCTAGGAAAACAGTGGCCACCTTGGAAACATCACCTAATCACTCTGAGTCTCGGTTTCCTCAGCTGTGAAATGAGGATGACTAATACCTCCTGAGTTTGTTTTGCAGACTAAATGAGATGACATATGAAAGGATCCAGTACATGGTAGGTATACCTTTTCCCCTTTCAGATAAACCAAAAGTGTAAGCATTACCATAACCATTTCTCTAGTTTATGCCCTGGTAGGTAACACAATGGAGAAGGAGGTGATAGAAAAATAGTTTGAGGTAAAGTGAAGACAGCTCTGAAGATGGGGGAAGGTGAGGTAGCAAGCACTTCCTGAATTAAGGGAGCTAGATATGGCCTCTGTGGGCTTTTCAAAGTGATGTTGATTTGGGTTTTCTTGGTTATAATAGTAATGTATGCACCTGTAGAGGCTTTGGAAAAATACCTTTGTGTGGGTCATCAAATCAGTAACACTGAGACAAACTCTGACCTCTCTGTGAAAAGGAGCCCAGTGGTCTGTCCTCCCATAAGCATTGAGGGAAGACCGTGTGTGCGTGGGTCAGTGCTAAGTGCTGAGATGAAGTGCGCCTGGGGAGGTGGCAGGGAGAACTCTGAGACTTCATCTGGGAAGCAGAGCTGGTACCAACCCTGAGTCTCCTCGTCCTTCTCAAGGCATGATCAAGAAACAATCAGATTCTCAGTGTATCATTCTAAGAACAGAGCAACATTGCCATCTATTGGTGTTATGAGATGCTTAATTTCCTTTATTGGGGTAAACACTGGAGGGTGGTATTGTGACATTACCAGTAGGGACTTTACAGCCTGCTGAAGAGAAGAACAGGCCGACTACTGCCAGAGTCACCTCCAGGTGGGAGCGCAGCCTCTAAAGTAGAGAATGGGGACTGTGGCAGCTTTGAAAAGGGATGTAGCACTAAGACAGTAGCATGAATTGGCATTCCTAATATTGATCTTAGCTGAATTGCTTTTTATGACATATTACTTACTTCCTCTCCGAATTTGAATGTTGATGAAAGCAAAACCCTTATTTTCGCTTTTATCTTCGCGAATGCAAAAATTACTGGCCCAGTTGCTGCATATCCTGGGTACCAGGTCACCAGGTGGCCCAGGAGTTAAGTGCATGGACTTTGCAGTCAAACGTCTTTCAACCCTGGTTTTGCCACTGTTTCCTCAGTTTCCCTTTTCATCTGTAAAATGATGCCAGCATAATGTTAGCGCCTACTTCACAGGTGGTCTTAAGTGAAAGGGAAGAATAAGAAGTGTTTATTCTGGTGTGGAGACCTTGATGAATACTTGTTAACTGCAGCTGCCATGATTACCAATAATCAGGTAAAGAATGGGACGAGAGAAGGGGAATACTAAGCATGTTAAGATCAAGGGCAAATTGGAATACTATTCCCCAAACTCAACACATTTTTATATTTACCCACTGAGATCTTTACAAATTCTTGAACAACACAGAATAGCAGTCAGAATAGCTGTCCTGTTTAAAGTGGTATCATGTTCGCCCAGCTGGCTTGGCTCAGTGGTTGAGTGTCGACCTATGAACTAGGAGGTCGCAGATAATCAATGATTCTCTCTCATCATTGATGTTTCTATCTATCTCTCCCTTCTCTCTGAAATCAATAAAAATAGATATTTTTAAAAAATAAAATGGTGTCATGCTCTGGGTGGGAAGTTTTGTTTTTCTCTAAAGTACCAGAACTTACCGCTTCTCAGCCTTTTGGCTAAGATCAAGTGTAGTAAAGTACCAGCACTTACACGTACAAACATTGGTGTGCCTGCGTTTTTTCCCACTGAAGTTGCCACTGCTGAAACGTTGACCAGACACCTCTTTGGAAGCAGGCTTTACGGATCTGCAGCAAGTTTCCTGAATATCTATATTACTAAGTAATTATTGGTACTGTGATGGTGGGTACATTGAAGATGGGTTGGTGCTTTGAAGTTGAGTACCTTGAGGATGGGTTTGGTTTTCAGAAGTGAGACATCACTTGGTGCCCAGGGCTGGAGAAGAAGATGTGGTGGAGTCGATCACATTTGGCCAAAAACAAAGTGGTTTCTGGCAGCAGGTTCCAAAGAGGAATTTTGAAATGTTTTGCTGATTGGCTGTGTAAAGTGTCATGATTATTTGGGTATACAAATTCTAACAAGCTTGTTAAAATCACCTCGTTTCTTTTTAGTTGCTTATCCCAGCTTTCCCCTTTCTTCTGAGCATTAGAAAAACAAGACATCCCTTCACTGAGTCCTTTCTGAAGTGGCACTTAAAGTGGGAAGAGAAGGTGCTGTATGTAGTAAACCCAGCCGCTGACCTCCTGTCAGGTCAGGCAAAATGAGAAGGAAACCAACTGGTGTTCAGCTTCTGAGGAATTGCCAGTCCAGTTTGTGCGTGTGGATTAGAAAGGCTAATTCAGGGGTGCCCATTGCCTCACTTAGATTCTGAGGCCTTTTCTTTTTTTTCCTTTTTTTCCCTATTGTTGACCATCAAGAGGTAACACTATGCATTTCAAAGAAAAACATTGAGGTGAAAATACTCATTATTTCATAAATTGTAGATGTCTTGCTCCCTTCTTACAAATGCCCCCACCTTCTGGATTCACATGGAAAGGTGAATTTATTCAGCTCTCATTAATTTCTAGGAAGAGTTTTTGTTGTTCTGGGAATAAAATATGCTGCCACTTTATGCTTTAACATGAATTCTCAGTTTGAAAACAAATTCTATGAAAAGAATTTTGAAAACCCGGGGCAATTTTTATTAATTTTGTAAATTCTTATACTGCAGTAAACTGAAGTATGCTTAGAGGGAAGCCCTATAACTTTTTTTTTTTAATTAACCACAGGTTACTGTATTTAGAAAGCTCTATGATCTATTAAAAGTAGTCACCCCCAAATATCCTGTCCCTCTGCTTTTACACAGCGCACTCAGCACAGACCACTCCCCGGAGGAGGACTTGGCTCTTGATCCGGGTGGTCGATCACGTAGAAGCCATGCTCCTCTACCGCCCGGTACAGCGTGATGTACTTGGAAGCCTTCCTGGTCCTGGGGACCACAAATTTCTCCGTGAACTCATTCTTGTCCAGTTGCTCCCTGCCTTCTGTGGCCAGAACGCAGTTAATGAATGTGAGGGTATAAGTGTAGCAGTTGTGGTGTTCTTCTTCGTACCTGCAAAACAAGGACGTGGGGAAGAGAAGGCTTAGCTTTGAAAGCTGCTCAGGGCCTTCCACAACTGAAATCGGGCTCACTCGGCGAGCTGGGCCCCAGCCTGGGCAGGGACGCTTGGCCTCCTGGGCTAGTGCAGATTGCAGCTTAAGTACAGAAGAGACTGAACTGAATGTTCAAAGTGGTGAGTGAAGGTGCACATAAACCCCACCTTGGGGAACTTAATTTCACTGAAATTCTAGATTCTAGAAGCAGAATTTCATTTCTTAAATTTTAGGATAGCCTACATTTCAAGGGTAGCCTGAAAACAATTTAAATGGACAAGTATGCTATATATCCAAAGTGTTAAGGGAGCAAGAAATTGAGAAATTAATTTCAAGATTGCTAAAACCAAAAAATAGAACCTTAAAATATTTATAAATTTTGAATATCATTTAAATTTTTTGTTTTATGGAACATAATATCACAGCTTTTGCTGTACATATTACTATTGAGTGTTAAGTATGTAAAAATACCTATTCAAATAATGAGAGTTCTAATTTTGGTCCTTTCAACTTTTAAAATGCTCTGATTCTATTATGTAATACTAGATGCCCGGTGTATGAAAATTTGTGCACTTGGTGGGGGGCCCTCAGCCTGGCCTGCGCCCTCTCGCAGTCCAGGAGCCTCCTGCCACCACCACTGCGCTTGCAGTCGTCAGCAGGGTTTGTGACTGAGCGGAGCTCCCCCTGTGGGAGCGCACTGACCACCAGGGGGCAGCTCCTGCATTGAGCATCTGCCCCCTGGTGGTCAGTGCATGTTATAGTGACTGGTCGTTCCCGATTGTTTAGCATTAGGGTCAATTTGCATATTTCCTTTTTATTATATGTAATATATGCTGGCTCACCTCTGAAGAAACCCCTGCTTAAATTCTGTTACAGGTGCTACTACTAAACGCCGCTCAGTGTCCTCTGTGAGTTGATCACATTTGTGTGGCAAATGCGGGCCAGGGAGCAGGTGGTCTCAGCAGCTCCGTACCTGTGAGGCAGCCAGGCCCCCGTGGTGGAGAAGTCTTCCAGGTACTTGTCCCACTGGTCCATCAGTCCAAACATGCCAGGCTGCAATAATGGGACACTTACACTCTGCTCCCAGCCTGCTTCATCTCGCTGGACACCGTGCATAGTGTAATTATAGACGACTCCTGCAACCAAAGCCAGGGTCACGCAGAAGCTTGAGGGACGTGCACCTCTGTGAAAGGGTGCTGTCAGAAAATGACAGCAGCCCCACAGTAACCTGACGTATCGGAGGCCCAGGTTGCACTTTCTGATTCCTGCCAATTAGCAATGGGCCCCGAGAGGCTCTGGGACCTCCTTCCTCCAGGATCATCAAGTTCAGGAGGCAGCCACTCGCCTCGGAGATTTAGAGAAGGTCTTGCCTGGAGTTAAGGAGAGGCTACGGTGCCCCTGCCTCCCCTGCTTTCTGCAAAGCAGTTCCTTCAGGGAAACCCAGTTCTTGCTCCACCTGCTCTTCAGCCCTCTAGAGTCACCCCCAGGAAACAGAGACAATCATAGGCACCGGGATCATCATCTCCAAATATTTTTGTTGAAGTTCTCTGTTTACAAATGGGCCTGGCTTTCCTTCAATCAGCAATAAATTTCTAGTGGTCAGACTGGTGATAAAGTTTACTGTTCACATGGGTAACTCTGAGTTCAAAAACCCAGTCCTAGGTTTCTGTTCACAGTATCAGTTTCTCCTGCCTCAAGGAGGTGGACATTGGCTCACCTGGCTGGCTTGCTCTCCATTCCCAGGCCTGCAACTCCTACAAGTGGCTCACCAGGCCCTTTTCCTGCAGACAAGGATGTCCTCGGTTCAGGGGTTGCAGACCTCAGAGCTAAATCTGGCCAAAAGGACTGTTTTATTTAAACATGCTGCTGCTGTGTTTTTGTTTTTTTACAGAAAACTGCTGCAGGCTCCCCCACCTGCTCAGGTGTTATATCCCCTGACTTATCCAGAGGTTTCTGCCTAATTCCTGGAGACCCTGGAGTGTGAAGACCCAGTAGCAGTGGGCTGAGTGAGTACAGGATTGGGGAGCAGAGGGCCTGGGTCCGGATTCTGGTTCCCACACCCGATAAGGTGTTGGGCAACTCAATCTCTCCAGAATTCTGTTTTTTCCTTGTTTAAACACCAACAAAAAACTAAAAGGTTTCTGTCACTCTTGGCTGAGAAAACATTAATGACCTTTTTCCAAATATTTAGTATTGTTAGTAACACTTTGCTGTACAGTCGAGTGTTTCTCATTTGGGGGAATAGTAGCATCACTCCCCTCATGGTCCAGCAAGAGAACCCAGGGACCAGAGGAATTCCTAGTTAAATGTTGCACCATCACTTTTCTTTAGAAATGCCACTCTCGTCTGGATACTTTGGGGACTTTTTAAGCTTTAAAAAAATATGAACATGCACTCACCATTTGTGTTAGTTATTCCAACATGAAGATCAGACCTTCCATCATAGTCCCTGAAAGAAACAAATATTTTTTCCTCATTTGCAAATGTCTGGCACAAAGAGTTGGTACTTAGAGTGGGGGAGTGATGGTCCTCCTCGCTTGCCTGGTGCCAGATTGCCAATAGTGTCCAGGTTAGTGAAAGCCCTGTTTCAAAGCTGGTTAGGCCAATTCTACATTTGAGATCTAAAATTTCCCCCTGTCCCCATCTATTTTGTTGCCCCGTCCCCAATGCTAAAGGTGAGTGTGCTAGAAGGCCAGTCCTGCTAGAGCAAAAAGTCAGCATTACACCTGGCAGAGGAGCCCACCCAGAGGTGAATTGTTGAAGGAGCACCTTATTCTCTCCTCCTTTTTCTGTGAGGTGACAGCCCGTTCCTCAGGCAAACATGGGTGAGAGGCTCCTGATGCCTCAGTGGATTCTGCCTCCCAAACTGATATGGCCCATTTTGGTCTTGTAGCCTGTGGCCACACCCACTTCTCTTGGACAGCCCTTGTTTCTTGGAATTATTATTTACCTGAGACTGGACAATAGATGTATAAGTCCGTATAATTAAACCTTCGTATACAGACCCAGGCCATCACTTACTAGCCCTGGGACATTGGGCAAGTCATTTACTCTCTCTAATCTATTTCCTTCACTATAAACTGGGAATAGTGAGCTGGTTGTAAGAATAAAATATCTATTGAGTGCCTGCCACACAGGTTATTTTTAAATAATAAAGCTCCTTTATCAGACCACAGGTCTGAATATTTGGTTCCTCATTAAAGCAAGCAGTTGCAGGTTTTAAAATGACCAAGGACACACATGGCTGCCCCATCTCCTTAGAGCAGTCTCCTCCAGGTCATCTTGTTGGAGCCACTTTGAGTTTTTTTTGAGACCCTGGGGCTTCCAGAGGTTGAACATGAGGTGTGGCTCGGTGGTTGAGCGTTTACCTATGAACCAGGAGGTCACGGTTCAAATCCTGGTCAGGCACATGCCCTGGTTGCAGGCTCGATCCCCAGTGTAGGATGTGTAGGAGGCAGCCAATCAATGATTCTTTCTCATCACTGATGTTTCTATCTCTCCCTCTCCCTTCCTCTCTGAAATCAATAAAAATATTTTTAAAAAGAAATGAAATGAAAATGAAGCGGAGAAAAACAGGAATAGTCATGGGTGGCTGATGACAGCGTGACACCCACCGAATTTTCTACCCCAAGCTCATACCCTGAGCACATCACTGCCCTTGGTTTCCTGCCTAAATCCTAGCATGTCCTCCCTCGTTCCCTTCTTTCCTTCAGTTATTTCTCAGTCTTGCAACACGTTTATTGGGTGTCAACTATGAGCCTGTACAGTCAGGTATTTGTCATATTTTGAAGTGAAGGGCTAGTGACATATGGTAGTTAGCCGGGAAGTGAATAGTCAACTCTGATGTTCTCATCCCAAGAACTCCTGAGGGCATGAGAGAGTTGGGAGCATTAGATCGGGATGATGTGCATGGACACGCTTCCTAAAGCATGTGCATCATTCAGTAGCATCCCTGCTCTCTTGCAACCAGGCTTGTCCATTTGTAAACTCCACCAGGACTCTCAGGAGGCACAATCCTTTCTTTTGATTTCTGAAATCTGAAAGTCAGGTGGTGTCTGCAATAGAAATAAACCAGCTCCACTCTCCACTTTAATTCACCTCCATGCAAAAGAGTCTTCAGGCTCCGTACATTGACCCTGCTTGTCAGAGAGATTACAAACTAACTCACAATAAAGGTATTTTGGTAAGCTTGGCTGCTGGGTCATTTTTTCCAATTAGCCTCTTAGCTCAAAATCTATGGTTAAGTAGGTCTCCAGACTATGGCTTTTTCTCTCTTAAAATTGTATAAGTAGGTTTGACCTTCATATATTCTTGCACTTTTCGCTCCAGGAAAGTATGCACACCGTCTATTTCTATAAAACAAATAGGCCTACATTTTAGAATTAAATGCCAAAAAAAAAACTGGAAAGAATTATCCACCACACTTCACTCACACTGTAAAAGAAGGTTTTAGTGACTACAACACAGAAGGAAAATTTGCACAATTCAATGTAACACTTAAAAAACACTGACGTTACCTAAGAAACGTCCCTTGAGTTGGCCTGAGGAGGAATGAACACTTTTCTTGATGCCCATTGGCGAACGGATTGGAGATGCTAACAGGTGCTTCCTCCAGCTTCCTGGAGCCCACATCCCGCCGGCAGAGGGGGCAGCACCGCGGCACACCGAAGCTGTAGATGTGTTTCCTGCAATGGTTGAACTTAATTAAAGGCTTTCCGGCCGCTGCGCTCTGCATGGCTCTCCCGTCCTGGGCAGCCGGGGCGGTGTCCCCAGACTTCCTTTTCCTGATGGCACAGGTAGCAAATTCCCGCAGCGCGAGGAACCTGATCGGCAATGACGTCATTCTGATTGACGGCCTCAGAGCCAAACCGGGTAGAATTAACCAGGACAGTCACCAGGCCGCCCCTAAAACCAGCGTCCTAAAGAGCTTTCATTTTCCTTTCCATTTGTGCCTGCTTACCAGACTGTTTTTCCAGCCTTCATACATTTTGCAACTGTTGGCAGCCAGCTCCGACTCATTCTGTAAAGCCCTAGGTTTCTGTAGAACTTTCTCCGCTTCCTCCGGCGTTCCCGTGCCCTGCGGCCCTGGATTCATGTTTCCACCTGAGCACTGCCCTTTAATTAGTCATAAGTCTATGCGCCTCTCGGAATTAGGCAGCCTCACTTGTTTTTGTGTTTCTAGCAAAGTTTATATCGTTTTGGTTTTGAATAAGTAACCTTACTTTGAGGTTACTCTCCTTTGATGCTTTATATTGTAGAAGTAATCTTGCTCATAAAAAAATTAACAGCACAGTAAAAATAAAGATAGAGGTTACCCTAGTTAACCAAACTAAAAGGATAACAGACAATTCCACAGTGGGATTATACTAGAAATAAAAAGAAATCAATAAGAAAAGGCTAACTAGAAAATTCCCAGTAGTTTAGAAATTAAGCAGCATACTGCTAAATAACTTATGGGTCAAAGAATAAATAACAATGGAAATTAGAAAATATTTCTAATCTAATTGTAATGACATTAAAACTTGTGAAATATAACTAAAAGGGGCTGAGAGGGAAAATTATAGCTCTAAATACTTAAAGAATAAGCAGCTAGAAAACAAGAACAATTTGAACTTAAAAATATAGAAAAGGAAAGATAATAAAGATTAGAACAGAAATCTGAAGTAAAAATCACACGTACAATACAGAAAATGAACAAAGCTAAAGTAAACTGCAGGATGAGATGGCTCCCATGGTAAATTATTCTGAACATTTAAGAAAACATGAATACCTACATTACACAGACATTTTTCAGAGAATTGAAAAGAAGGAATACTTCCAAACTCATGCATAGCTCAGATACTAAAACTTGACATGGACATTCGGAGGAAGGAACACTACAGACCACTACCTCTCATGAACAAGGATAAAGAAATGCTAAACACAATATTAACCAAGAGAATCGAATGATTTATAGGAAGAAAATGTAACAGAATAAAGAATAAAACAATATGGCTTTCTCGATAGATGGGAAAGGATTTGATTTTTAAAAAAAGACATGTTCATGATAAAAACTCTAAGAAAACTTGAAAGAAAAAGAAACTTCTTTAATTTGATAATAAATAGCTTCAAAAACCCTAGAGCTAACATTTTAATTAGTGGTGAAATACTAAATAATTTCCCTGAATTCAGGAACAAGACAAGGTTGTCCACTGTTACCACTTTTATTTTATTTTATTTTATTTATTTTTATTTTTTACCACTTTTATTTAAGGTTACACTGAGGGTTCTCAGCAGTAAGTCAAGGAAAAGAAATAAAGGATAGCTCAGTTGGTTCAAGCATTGTCCTGATACATCACGGTTGTGGGTTTAATCCTGATCAGGGCACAAAAGAATCAGCCAATGGATACATAAATAAGTGGAACAACAAATTTCTCTCTCTCTCTCTCTCTCCACTCTCTTTCCAAGATCAATAAATAAATTTTTTAAAAAAGAAAATATATAAATATAGCATGGAACAAGCAACAACAATTAGGACATTTTTAAAAATATCATTTAAAATAGCATCCAAAAACCCATCTAGATACCTAGGAATGCATCTAATAAAAGTTGGCATAGACCTATACACTGAAAACGACAAATTTCCCAATGTAGTTCCTAAATTTCTGAGAGAAATTTCAAAAGTTCTAATTGGAAGTATATACTGTGCTCATTCATTGGAAGACAATATTTTTACAAAAGCAAAGTAAAAGAACTACATACAGTTATATGTTGTTCTTATAGTATGTATAGATCAACACTGACAGCTATATGTTGTTCTTATAACACATATAGGTCTCACCTGTATAATGTTGGTCAAAAGAAGACAAAGAGTACATACTGAATTATTTCATTTATATCAAGGTCAAGAACAATCTAATTTGTGATGATAGAGGTGAGAATTACACTTATCTTTGGGAGCTATTGATTGGGAAGGGGCATAAGGAAGCCGGGTATTGATAATGTTCTTTTATCTGGGTGGTGGTTTCATCAGTGTATTCATATGTAAAATTCATGGGGCATATGTATTTTGTCTGTTATATTTCAATGTTTAAAAATTTTTTAAAGGCAATAGGAAATCATTGAAATGGATAAAAGAGTTTAATGACATGATCCGATTTACTTAAAAAAAAAAAAAAGGTTTTGTGTAACAACAGACTAGAAGAGGGCAGGAGCAGAAGCCAGAAGAGCAGTTAAGAGGCCATTGCATGGGCCCGGGTGAGGAGTGAGGGTTGCTTAGACTAGAACCATGAAAGTAGAAATGGAGACAAGAGGATTCATTGGAGAGCAGGATCTGCAGGATATAGAGAACCAGAGGGACATATCAAGAATTATCTTTCTGGCCCTGACAGGTTTGGCTCAGTGGATAGAGCGTCAGCCTGCAGACTGAGAGGTCCCAGGTTCGATTCCGGTCAAGGGCATGTACCTCGGTTTCGGGCACATCCGCAGTGGGGGGTGTGCTGGAGGCAGCTGATCGATGTTTCTCTCTCATCGATGTTTCTGTCTCTCTATCCCTCTCCTTCCCTTTCTGTAAAAAATCAATAATATATATATATTTTTTAAAAGAATGATCTTTCTGGGTTTCCACCATAGGAAATGGAAGACAAATAGCAGAGGAATGCCTGGAAAGAACATGACTAAAGTTTGGGATGCGAGTAGAGATTTTTAAAGGAGCACTTGGGCGGGGTCTAAGGGACTCCTTACTTGGGAGGCGCGGTCTGGCGGAACAGTTGAGGCAGGACCTGAGAACGGGGTCCGGGAGTGTAAACTGACATGTAGGTCGGGGTGTCTGGGATTAAGATGCCTCCAGCGGGGCGAGGTGATTCTAGGGACGCGAGAGTCGCTAAGGAATGCGCTTGGAGATGGGGCAGCCCCGTAGGAACTAAGAGTCAGCACACGGGATAGGACTTGCCATGGCCCGCCCAGGAGGCTTGGAAATGGCGGGAAGAGGAGGAATACGGGGACTGAGGATCGGCCCCGCCTCCACCCCGGGGCGGAACCAATTGTGACGGCGGCGAGGTTTCCGGCCGGCACTATAAAGGCGCACACGGGCGGGGGGGCGGCGTGCGCCGTCGTGACGCGGCCGCACGGGAGGGGCAGGGCCGAAGCAGCGACGGCGGCGGCCAGACTGAGAGGCGGCAACACGACCACGGCCCTCTGTCCCGACCACCATGAGCACCAAACAGGTCACCTGCAGGTTAGTTTGCGACTCTGCGGGGTCCCGGAGCGCCGGGCCGTCTGGGGCCTCTCCCCCGGGGCCCTGGGCGACGAGTGCGCGCTGGTGCTGCCGCCGGGGAAACTGAGGCTGGAGCGGATTCGTGGAAGGTTGCTCAGGTGTTCACCCTCCGGCGTTTTGGGCCCAGGGTGGGGACCCGGCGGTGTGTGGCCGTGTTTCGTGACCGAGCCCCAGGGCGAGGCCAGCGCGGGGCTGTGCTGGTCGGAAGCGTGGCCCCTGTGGCTGGAAGGACGTGCGAGCCAGGCCGTGCGGGTGCGGGGCCCGGGAGGAGGGCTCTGGGACCAGAGTCGAGCCGGACGCGGAGACGCGGGTTGGAGTGAGGGTGCGCGGAAGGGCCGTTTGCGGGCGGGGAGGCGACACAGGAGGGGCTTGTTAATCGACGATGAGGGCCTCCGAGGAGCCGAGGCCCGAAAGCGGCCTTGGTTCTCTGCGAATTCGAAGACCCCCGACCTAAACTTGCAGAAAAGAAGCAAGTAAGCACTGCTGTTCGCAAAGATAGCAACCGTAGGCAGGATGTTTGGAAAGTTTCGGTGCTCCTCAAATTGCCAAGTCCTTCGTATTCATTGTCTTTAGACTTCACAATAACGCTGTTAGGCCAATAGAATTTCCATTTTGCAGTGCAGGAACCAGACTGAGAGAGGGTAAGTGCTACTCAGTCTTAGGAGACAACCCGTTTACGTGGGGAAATACAGCGGCGATGGATGAATGGCTGCAGAAAAGTCAGGACCGGGTGACATAGAGATAATGTGGTTGTGTAACACCGTGATTTCTTGGTCAGCTTGTGCGTTACCGGGATTGGGATCCTACTCTTGCTGAACTGATACTTGGAAAGTACACATTTTATTTTAATAAACTGTTTCCAATTAAACCTGTTTGGGAAGCATTGCTGAAAAGAATGTTAGTTTGATTATGTAATAAACTGTTGATCATTTATATTGTTATTTCTCTTCTCCAGTGTGAATAATTGAGAAGTGACTGAAAACATTTTCCTTTTAGCATTCGTATATAATTAGCTGTTCAATCAGTGTAACCAAGGCCCAGCTGATTTATGTTGAGCAGTTGTCAGAGATTTGCACGTAGTGTTTCTAGGAAAGACTTGCACTAGGTTATTTGTACTAGAAAGTCTTCTGTGAAGACGTGTGTGTTTATTTTTATTTGTATAAAGTTTCCCCAGTGAACCTAAAATTAAAAGGCCTTTTCAGAGTGAGCAGCAATACACATTTATTTGAGATTTCAAAAAAAAGAAGAATGGCTCTTCTGGAATCACCGATTCAGGCAGAAACCCACGTAGTGTTTTAGTTAGGAAACAAAGAAAAGGGGTATTTAGGAGGAGGTGAAGGGGAACAATGACATCTAGAAGGAAGGCATTCTGTTGATGCAGGTAAGCTAACATTGTGATGCTAATTCTAGATAGTGTTTTTAATGTTAAGTCCTTAGTCATAGCTGCTTTCTTGTTTTTCTTGCAAAGGGTTCTTTGGGGCACAATGCTGCTTTAGGCCCAGAAAAGGTTATTTTGCCCTGTTTTAACATAACAAAGGCTTGAGGCATAAGGTGTGCAAGGCCTTCCTGTGGGCTGGCAGCTCCAGCTCTCTTTAATGTGACTCTTTATATTTTTACATCCCTGTTGGAGCAATTTCTTAGTCATTGTGGACTATACCAGATTCTGGCTACTGCTTCTAAGATGGGTTCACAAAAAAGTGCACAGTTATACAAGGTTTTATAATCGAATCTCAACTCTGGGCAGTATCTAATTTTACAGATACCGAAATCTTATCCTCAGAAAGACTTGAGACTTGCCGCAAACTTCACATCTAGTTGAAGGAATAAGAACTTAAATCAGCATCATCTTAGTTATTTTCTGTACCAGAAGATGGCCTGACCTGAAAGCTTTAGTCTTTGTTTCCCAAACAGGGGTGTCCTGCAGGATGTTGCTTGTAAACTGAGAGTGAGTTGGAATGTTGAGAAGGGATCACTTCTGTTTAAATACAATCCGATTCTGTTGGGGGGCTTACAACATGCTGGGTGCTCTACCAGCCATATTGCTATAGCCTAGCAACCAGGACTATTCCATAGATCGTGAATCTTAGCCTCAACGTTGAAGTGATTACCCAATATCATTCAGCTTCCAAGTGGCAGAGCTGTGGCATCAGAGTCCATGTTCTTGTAGACTATATGGCCTCCAAGTAAGTCTTAGAAATGCTAAATGAAAGTTTCTTTCCTGCAGGACTTTTCAAAGCTTTTAATATGTTCATATGAAAGGAAAACATAGGCAAAAACCTATAGAAAGTTCACTTGCCAAAGGGGGTGAAGGAATCAGCCCTCATAAGGACTGAACACATATTTAAATGGAAAAAACTGCAGTATTACCAAGAGTTCCAAGTTTACATTAGTGTGTTCATGGTGGAAAAGCTTTTCTCGCTTTATTATCTATTCACTAAAGTTTTTTTTTTTTTTTAGTTGAGAGAGAGAAACATCGATTTGTTGTTCCACTTATTTATGCATTAATTGGTTGATTCCTGTGTGTGCTCTGATAGCGGATCAAACCCGCAACCTTGGTGTATCAGGATGACTCTCTAACCAACTAAACTACCTGATCAGGGCCTTAATCACTAAAGTCTTATCTCCAGACATTTGTAACTTATAGGAAATGTTCAAGGTATGATTTATTTGGAGGGCAGACTTAAACAGGTTTCTTGGGTTTGTCTTAGGGTGCAAAGTATTTTTGTGGTTTGTTTTCCTGACTGGAATGTGATGTACATGCTTCTTCTGGATGGCAGCAGGACAAAGGGTTAATTTTGCTTCCATTCTAGTAGGTATTATATCTCTCCAAGAGATGGATATGAAGTCCTTGGATTCCCAAATTTAATGACGAAGACTAAATGTTTATTGTCTGAAATGACAAGAATGGCAGCTGATACAGTTTTGTTAGTCAACTCTCCTTCCTAACCATCTCCTGTGTCTTCCAATCTGTTTTCAAAGTACTGGTGCAGGCCTTTATTATAGCTTGGTAACCAGTTTTTTTGTCCTCCTCAAGTCCCTCTGTCTTATTACTAATGAACAATCTAGAAATTTCAGTTTCCTGAGAGAGTCAAACCTAGAGTTTTTCATTCTTTGAAAGTCACAAAACTGTCCAGTAAGTGATAGGAAGAACGTGAGCTCCAGAATTGGGGTAGTTCTGGATTCTGATCCTGATACCACTTGTGCCACAGTTTCCTCATCTGTAAAATGGGAATAGTAATGCCTAGCCAGCAGAGTTGGTTAAAATACTAAATAATAACAACAAACCATCTTGGAGCATTTATGATGTGTTAGGATAAGCAATTACATGCATTGTCTTAGCTAAATCTCACAGTAGTCTATAACAGCAGTCTATGAAGTACAATTATTATAATCATACTAGTTGCCCAGTGCATGGATTCGTGCACATTGAAAGGAAAGTAATTAGAAGAAATATTATAATATCTCTATTCACCCTTTCTCTATAATAGAAGTGTAAGAGATGAAAGAAAATTAGTAAAATTTATATGAAAGCCGAAACGGGTTTGGCTCAGTGGGTAGAGCGTCGGCCTGCGGACTGAGGGGTCCCGGGTTCGATTCCGGTCAAGGGCATGTGCCTGGGTTGTGGGCACATCCCCAGTGGGAGATGTGCAGGAGGCAGCTGATTGATGTTTCTCTCTCATTGATGTTTCTGGCTCTCTATCTCTCTCCCTTCCTCTCTGTAAAAAATCAATAAAATGTATTTAAAAAAGAAAAAAGAAAAAAAATTGATATGAAAATAATATATAAGTTGATTAATAAACAAACAACAACATGCTATAACAACAAAGACACGATATAAAAACAACAAAAACATGATTTAAAAACATGATATAAAAACAACGTAACCCACGACCGAAGGTGGAATCACACGGCCCAGTGAGGAATCAGGCTCCCTCCCCTCTGGTTCCAGGGTTGTCACCTGAGAACCACCGCTGCCAAGTCACCGCAGCTCGGCAGCTCCTGTGTTGAGCGTCTGTCCCCTGGTGGTCAGTGCGTATCATGTACCGGACGGTCACTTAACCTTTTATATATATAGATTGCAGATGGGTAAACTGAGGCTTGGAGATTTAAATAATTTGCTCTAGGTCACATAGTAAGCCGTCTGACTTCAGAGTCTTCACTTAACCACTACACTGTATTTCATCCCCACTTCCAGTACATTTATTTCAAGCCTATTACCATGCCTAGCATTAGCTAGCTTCTTTCCTCCTTGACAGATCTGTTGTTACAAGTAGGACAGCCAGGAATTTTAAGCCTGGAAAAATGTGTAGGAAAATATAAAGGAAGGTGACAGGGAGAATATAAATTACCCATATACTTGGAGATGATTTGCAAAAGTGTTCTGCTCCAGACAAGCAGCATTGAAAGGCCTTCAAGAAACCAGATTGATTCCGTTTTTTCAGCAACAGCTAGAACTATTGGTGGTTCTGTGGCTAAGAGTGAGCTGATATACTTTGCAACATATACCAGTAATAGCCTTACTGTCTGAAACAGTCTTGGAGTCACCCAGAATAGCAGACGCCTTTGGAGTGTTCCCCAGAAAAAATCTCCCTACTTTTTTTAAAGTATCCAGCTATGTACTTCCCAGCCCTTGTACACTCATTCCCCCCCCCCTACATTCTCTGCCCCAATTCATGTCTCTAAGAAGGTATAAGGGATGGATGGTTTAGCCATCAGGAAGGGTGAACAGTTGGAAATTCACTACAAGGTATGAGAGTCCTGGATTAAGTTTAGTATAACAGATGGGAGGAATGGCTATAAGTGGTTGACAAGGATGCCCCAGAGGTCAGGCAGAATGTATTCAAGGTAGTTTGTGTTTGTTACTGGGGAATGGAAATGGAGACATGCTACAAAAATAAGACTGGGCTGGCTTCGCCTCTTACATAACACTCGTTTCACACTCACCTTTCTTGAAGGCAGTG